CGAACCCTCGTTTTTATGTAAATCCCCTGTCGATTGTTGGGATGCGGTCCCCTTAACACTCGTTTCACCTCCCATGTCTTTTCCCTTCGTAACACTCCCATTTCTCTCCTGATTTCTTCAATACCGCACTTTTTTTTATGTTTTTCATTATTTTTCATTAACGTAGTTAACGCGCACTTGACCAGAAAACACAAAAACACACTAGAATAAATAGATAGCCAAAATAAGACGTTCCACGCGCAAGGGTCGAGAAACTAAATCCCCTGTCTTTATCTCCTTTTTATCACACTAGGGGGCTGAGCCCCCTGCGCGCTCTGCGCGCCAACCCCCAAAATTTAATCAAACATTTATTTTCTATATTTTCAAAGAAAAATACAAAAATCGTATCTTTATCGTAACACGTAATATTGCAATATTGATTGACTTACACATTAAAATGACTTTTCACTAATTTTTCAAATTTACCTGCGCTTGATCAGTCTCAGCCAATCACGTGACGAATAAACAGGCTTTATCACATGACCCATCATTTTTTTAAGATAGGATGACATGAACACTTGAAATTATATTTATTCCATTCACGCCAGTAAAACAAGAAATCCAGAAACAAACAAATAGATTGCAAAGAAAGACGCCTCAAAACTAATAAATAGCTAGCTTAAAACACGCTCCTCCAATAACAAAAAACAGTATTCGTACAAAGAGCTCGCTAAAAATGACGATGGTTCACATTGATTCGCAAGAGCTTATCCTAATACATCTGTTCACGCACGTGGCCACTAACCAAGTCTTATACTACCTTTTATTTACTGAACTGCAAAAATATAATGTGAGTTAATTTTAAAGTTTTATTGTTCTTAAAAAAATTTTTTATCTCTAGTTCATCAATACAATTGTTTGATTTCTTATACTTCTTAAAAAAATTTTTTTTAAACAGTCTTTTTAAATTTCTTATCTATTTATGTACAGTCCATATAAAATATTTTCAGTTTTAATGATGCTAAAAACATAAATATAATTTTAGCTTTGACAGTGTTATACGCCTTGTGTCTATAAGTTATTAAACATTTCTCGTTGATTTTTATGTTAGTCACTTGACAGAACTGTCGACATATGAAAATTCAAGAAAGTTAATAATTTAACGACAGAGAAAGTAATGGAGTGGTTCCTCAATCAATTTTTTAAAATTTTTATTTCGTGGACTTTTCTACTGTGACATGTTTACTAAAGTAAATGAGAGATCTTAGTTGTATGGAAGAGAGAATCGTTATTAAATAATGTTATATTAACCAAGGTTATGTCTACGTGAATTTGTTAGGACGAATGCGTAACTCTTACCCTTGCTAGTAAAGGAATACTATAGTATAATGACGAAGCATACTACAGGAGTAAGGTAACGATAATGTTGCTAATAATTTTAGTTTTTGTAGCAGTTTCTAAAGGAGGAGAAAATTTAATTCACCCGCAAATAATAACACAAGACCACAAAAAAAGTCAGGGTGCTTTTATCAAACATAGCTAACTTTATGTTATTCAGGTGGCTGAAACCGAATTTGGTGTCATAATTATCCCAGTGTGTCAAGATTTTCTGAAATCTAACTTTAAAAAATCGAATAATGTAAGTTTTTCGACAAAGTTCTATAAATTTATGCAACCCATGGCTCTTGTAACCAAAGATTCTCAGCAGACTATCCTTAATGCACAAGCCAACCACATAGAAATCACTTTTTGAACCATCAAAGCTCGCACAATCTAACTTCAAACCTCCAAAAAACCAGTAACTTTAGCTTTTTCACGAAATTTTTGAAACTTTGGCCCTAATTTGTAAAATAACCAAACATCACTAACAGAGTAGCTTCAAACATAAGGTAACAACCATAAGATCACTTTATGATACACCAAAGTTTAAATAACAAAGCTTTTACAACCTAACCGCAAACCCCCAAAAATCCAGTAACTTGAACTTTTTTACAAAATTTTATAAACTTATGCACTTATTGATCTTATAATCTAAGATTTTCAGAAAAGTAGCTCTACACATCAGCCAACAACCTTAGGGTCGCTGTTTAAACTATCAAAGCTTATAGAACCTAACCTTATCTTAAATACTCAAACCTATGACTTTTTTATGAAATTCAGTAGACTTATACGCTTAACAGCCCTATCTAAAATCAACCTTAATTCCACATAGAGTCCAGATGGACTTTTCCAACATGGTAAGGACTGTATAAAAACCAGCAGGAATCAGCAATGACCCTGATGGATCTATATTTAGAAAAATAGTAAGATATTTCCTAATTTTTATAGGTCCGTCTTTATTATTCACAGAAAAATCGTGTGCTTAAATTAACCTGTTCTCACCAGAGCGTTACAGTTGAGTTCTATGTTAACATACACTACATCAACATTTATAGTTTGTACATCGAGAACAGGAGAATAGATTAGGTCTTACATCTAGACTGTAGGTGCATTCAAAATTATACATCGTGATTCACAATGAATAAAAGATGGATATTGATGTTGTGGCCCTTCATAACGATCGAAGTTCAGATAACGCCAAAGTAAAAAAAATACTCTGGTTACATACATACATTCAGGATGCCTCATGAACTTCGAACTTCACTTCTTGGACTCTCACCTCGAGTATTTCTCTAAAAACTTAGGAGACTATAGCCAAGAAGAGGGAGAATGGAGGGTTTTGGGATGAGAACATGTTATCAGACTACTGTTAGAGTCTTAAAAGAGGTACAGCTACTATGCATAAAAAAAATTATTTTACTGACCATTTTAAAAAAAAACAATACGTTACTCCCAAAAAGAAAAAAAAATTTCAGCAAAGCAGCATTATATTCATAAAAGTTATGTACATACATTTTTCAAATTGTTTGTCCTTTATTTAAATATACATTTAATCAATTACCAAAAGTATATAACATCTTTTTTTATTAGTCCTATTACTTTTACTTTTAGACTTAGTAATCTACATAATAATCATAAAATTTATATTTATTTAGCAATAATTGGTAATAAAGGAATAATTATATAATGTAATGTAGAAACGAAAATTTAGGCATTCAGTTCAAACGACAGACAATAAAGCTGAAGTAGCCTTTGGTTTTAGGACAGTTGTCTCCAAGATCTTTGGTTATTTGTGTCATGGAGTGCGTAAATTTATAAAATTTCGATAAAAAGCTTGCGTTATTGGATATTTGTGGTTAATAGTTAGTTTATTAGTGCGTCAGTGATTTAAAAAAATATTCTGAGACAGTTGGCTTGTGTTTTAAAGCTAGTCTGTTAAGCTTTGGTGTATCTGAAAGTAACCCATGATTGTTAGGTTACATTTAAAATTACTTTAGTGAAGATCTTAAGTTATAGGACCAATGGGTGCATAAGTTTATAAAATTACGTAAAAAAGCTTAAGTTACTGGACTTTAAAAGATTTGAGGTTAGGTTGTGTGAGCTTTCATGATTGAGAAAGCAATTGCTGTGATGTTGGCTTGTGTATTAAGGCTAGTCTGCTGAAAATCTTAGTCATAGGGGCCATAGGTTGCATGAATTTACAGAATTTCGTTAAAAGTCTCACATTATTCGATTTTTCGAGGTTTTGAGGTTATATTTCACAGAATCTCGATATGCTGGAGTAATTCTGACATCAGAATGGGTTTCAGCCACCTGATATATATAGAGTAAGCTATATGGAATAAGAGCACCATGACTTTTTTTTTGGTTCTATATAATTAATAAATACCAAAGTTGAGATCCTCTGGACCCAGAGCAAGGCATTAAGCTACAAGTCTTTGAGAGTAGGAACATTAATTTGCTAACTGCTCCATTGATTAAATCAGAAAATGTTTCTAACTTGCCCTCTGGTATTCTTGGAAATTGGCTTTTTGAGTTTGATGATATTATCTAACCATTTTAGTTGCTATAGATTTATTTTTTCACATCAGCACAATGATTTTGTCCCAACCATTTTGTCTTACTTTTCTCCTCAAGTTGTGGTAAGTTATAAATTTGTTTGCTAGTTCTGTAATACTACGTAAAAAAAGAGACAATGCTGTATGTACTTTGTCCATAGCATCCTGTTTTGATCATTATGGAATTCGTGGAGTATTATTAATGTATTAAGTATTTAAATATCAATTGAGTTTATAGTTAAAAATAAAACTTAGAGAGCTAATTCGAATGTTCATAAGTATGTTTGTAAAGACACGTTTATTTATTGGTGCGACTTGCTTTACGTTGTGCTATTTGTACTTTAATTGAATCTTGGTTCTAGAGACGCAAAATTCGAATCATTATAACTGTTTGTAATATTAAAACAAAATTTACAGTTACATCTGTAGTATATTATAATATATATCATAATATATATATTATAATATATTACAATACATAATAATATACTTATTGTAATATTATTATTGTCGCTTAGCCTTGAATATTAAAAATCAAAAAACCTTGACGTAATTAATTTTCCTTAACATTCACCTTTAAAGAAAAGTATAATTGATGCATCATTTTATTTTTTTGACTTTTGTAAAGAAATCTTCCAGATTTATTATTTTTTGCTTGCTACTTTGTTAAATATTGCAGTGTGGTTTTATATATTCACACTAAAAATTATTCAAACTTTGTAATAAAAAAAAATTTTTAGAGTGTATGATTTTGCTCTTAATCTCAATACTGTTAGCTTGGCACTTGAAATTTTTACAAAACAATTTTTTTTTTTACGGTTATGTCAATATTCTAGTTTAAAATACAAACTTATCCAAATTATGTTTATTTGAAATTTTTTCTTTTGTGTAGTTCCAATTATCGTCCATCCACAAACTTAGTGAATGATTCCGACTATGGAATTTATAACTCTCTTATTAAATAGACTCATGTAATTTTTTAATTATTCTTTGACATCACAAAATGAAACGAACTTTTTATCACTTTGTATAACTTTGATTGTTTTAAAAAATTCACTCATTTTTATTAAATTTCTTCCACAGTGATGACTCATTATCAGACTTTGATCGAATGCTTGCTCGGAAAAAAGAAGAACGATCTCGTCGGCGTAAAAGAAAGGATATTGATATAATAAACGATAATGATGATATTATAGCTAGACTACTATCTGACATGAAAAGTGCATATGAAGAAGACAGAAATTTAAATGAACTCAACAAACCAGCAAAAAATAAAATAGCTATGTTACCAAAAGTCTTATCGCAATTGAAAAAACACGATTTACAGCTTGCTTTTTTAGAACACAACGTTCTCTCAGTCCTTACAGATTGGCTTTCACCATTGCCTGACCGATCCTTAACATCATTAAAAATACGAGAATCTATTCTTAAATTATTGTATGAGGTAAGAGTTTTTGTATTTGGTTACGTAATTATTTCTACTTATCCTAACGGTTGGAATGTAACTTTACACGGTAAAAAAGTGTTGTCTTACAATTTTTTTTTTTCTTGTTTTATTATTACAAAACATGGTATGAACATTAACACAAATATGTGATTCTGGTCTTTCAAATATGTATGTTGTAAAATTAAAAAAAAAAAAAATAGAAAAAATAAAAAACTGTAAACATTATCTTATTCTTTTGAAACAAATTATTCTTCAACAAAAGAATAATTTTTCTATCAAATAGACTCGTGTTGGGAGAAAGAGACTAAGAGGACAAGATGACATGAGTAAGGTAGAGGATGAGAGGAAAAAAAATGTAGCTTATAGTAGCGTGGGCAGGTAGGGTAGTGTAATATTGTTTTGGAAATGTAGCAGATTGTCGTAGTTAAAAGAAAAATTAAAAAAGAATTTAACATTTTTAAAAATATTATAAAAGAGTACCCAAAGAATATACTAGCAAGAGTTTTTCAAACTTATCATTTAAAAGAAGTTTGTGTAGTTAACTTACTTCAGATTTGGTTACAAAGCCTTGCGTGTTACTCTTCAAACTTGAACATCGCAATTAATGTAAAATATTTAAGGACATCGTTACATACTTTAGACAATAAAATAATGCGATACGAAATAGATCAAAATCAATAAAAATTTTCGTAAGTTTTGACAAAAAATTTTTGAGATTAAAAAATCAGTTGAAATGTAAACTCACAAATAAGTTAGCACTTTTTTACTCAAAAGTAAAAAAAAATCAGAAATTAACATTTTATAAAATGCAAAAAAACCTGTTATCTTAATATAGTGTTACGTCGAAGACGGCGTAAGAGTAAATTTTTTATTTAGGCCTAAGCTTTCGCTCAATAGCCTGGAGACACGACAGCAGGGGTTGAGGACGGAGCATTAGGGTAGAAACAAGGTAGATGATTAAAGAAGGGTTAGCTAGCTACTTGGCCATCGGTATTTGTACCCACGGCACGTAACTGGCCATTTACTTGGAGTTGGTAAGTTGGTTCCTTTTTAGGGGTCTATAGTCGTTGGTTGCCAGTATTTTACTAGCGATGCACGACGTGTAGTTTAAAAATTGGGTTGGCTAACTAAGAGCTGGCTGTTTAACCATCGGCATTTACACCAACCGGCACACAACTTAGCGGTACTTGATTTTCTTTAAACGGAGGCTAGTTGCTTGGCCATCAGCATTTTCACTAACTGGCACACAACTTAGCGGTACTCGATTCTTGTTATTTTTTAATTAAAAATCTTCCTTCACCACCTGCTTGGCCATTAATATCCGGATTAAACGGCACGCAATAGTGGGTTTTACGCGAAGAGAAAACTATTGGGGGATATACAATAATTAAGTTTGAAGAAAATTTTATTACTTACTTTTATTAAAAGAGAAAAAAAAGGGGGTTCAAGTGGCTTTCGAAGCAAGATCCGGGTGGCCGGATATAATTGAAATCGAAACTGCGGACCGGATTCTCCAGGTCACGAATAGACTTCGACCGGGTTCTCCAGGTCGTGTATTCTAGTCTGGCTATTGCTTTCGGTATTTTACCAAGCTGGCCTGACCATTGAACGAATTTTTTTGAGACTGAGCTGCTCGTGCAGGAGCCCATGGGCTCATATAGCCGAAGATCTTGCCTCCATATCACTGCCACTACGGCCAGAGACGACGAGACGCACATAGGTTCTTAGAATTAGTCTGCATCATCTCATGGCAGGGAGAGGGAAAGATTTCCTGTATGCTTTCCGTCTTCCTTTACATATGTTGTTTTGGTTTTGGGGTGACGCTTACTTGCTAAAGAATATAGTATAGTAACGATACTGGTCCCGGTGCTTGCTTATCGGGATTTGGTCGTATTATAGTTCGCGTTATTTTTCGGCTTGGCGTCTCTGGGTACTGTAAGTGTTGGAGAAAGAAGGTGGTAGAAGTATAGCATGCTGTTGTCAAGTCACATTGCATGAACGCTGGCCGATGTGTAGATCAACATCCCGGCTCGAGCGTCGGCTTATTTACGAATGGTTAAGACACAGAAAAGGGAAAGGATAGAAAATTATTAAATTTCATCAGGCAATGTCGACGCATAAGGAGGGAGGGAGATGTAGACTAGTTCTTCTTTGTCTTACTCGGTTTCTTCTTATGTGTGTGTCATGAAGCCTTAGTTTCGGTACTTGGTGTATGTGTGCGTGTATGTCATTTAGCTTGCTACGAAAACGCGGCTTTACGAGGAGGATAAGGAGAGGAGGAGGGAAAAAAAGGTACGTCGAGCGCAGCCTCGATGTAACAATAGATAAGCACACCAGAAGATGTTGCCTAGTATCACTAGAATTAGGCTTTCATAAAATGATGTTAAATTTAAAAAACTCAGACGTTATTCGTGTATTTAAAAACTTAGAATATAGTTTGAAAATTACAAGAATTAAAGACGTTTTATAAACACAATAAGACAAACTGAATAGAAAGTTTCGGTATAAAAAATGGAAGGCTTTTACAGCAAAAGGATCTTATGTATGTTGAAAAATAAATCGAGCAAAAAAATTTTCGAAAGATAATCCGCACCTAATGTTCCTAAAGATGGATACAAGTCATGTCTTTGTATGCATGCAAAGATAGGATTTTATCAAAAGAATGCCTGTACTTCTGAGTGAAACTCGCACATTCACAAAGATAAAAAGTCGTTTTTTGAAAAGATTGCAAAAATATTCTACTAATAGTTAAGAGACTTGAATGGTGAAATCAACCATTTTGTTGAACAGTAGTCCAACTAATTAACTTCTACAAACATTATTTTATGACTTGAAAAATGTATGCCAACATCAAAATTCTCTATGGACAATAGTCAAGATCTTAAACATAAAATTAAACCGTGTATAATACTAAATATCTATATGTTAATGTCTCTTAATGTTACTTCACTATTTACAAACGTATCGTATGATGTGGTTCTAAGAATCCGCAAAAATTAGCTAGATAATATTTACAGTGCGTCCAGAATTACGTTTATTGGTATCTTGGATTGAATCGAGTTTTCAATTTATGAATGTTTTTCTTTGAATAAAAAAAATTGTCAATAGATATCTGATACCCTACTAAAATTACCAATTTCTTTTTTTTTGCGGATTTGGTGCTTGAAAAATTGGTTCAGTACCCGAAGCTAAATTAACTTTATTTTTCAAAAGAATTTTTTGGTGCAGAATTTTTTGTTTTAAAGCACACGAGAATAGGTTTGATTTATATAATTAAGAATTTATACTTCTATTTGTACTTATCAAAGAATACCGTAATCCATTTTATAATGTCAATCACTTGAATATTTAACTTCATGTATCTAAAGTGGAAATTGTTGCTGGAAACTGTGGCTTGGGTGGCATTATAAATACTCTATGTTTTGATAGTCTTAAAAAAAAATTAAATTCTTAAAAACAAATACAGTTAACGAAAAAAAAAAAAAAAAAAAAAAAAAAAAAAAAAAAAAAAAAAAAAAAAAAAAAA